AAAAGAAATAGTAGAAAAAATTTAACATTCAAAATACCCACAAAACACACTGCCCACTCTAGATATTTTGAAGTCTTAAAGAGTCTCTTCTGTCTTTTATTTAATATTCAGTTCTAGTAAATATTACAGCCGTACAGTTCCAGGCGAAGTGCAATACTCTGATTCCATGTTTTAGGAATAATGCGGATAAACCTGGAAATAATTGGTGGATTGAAAAAGTTCTTCACATGTCCCTTGACATTACCATTTCCTTCAAAAATCTGAAAGCAAATGAGAAAGATAATTTTCAGTGTTGGTATAGTGGATATAAAAATCTGACAATTTTCTTATCCTTTTAGCTCAAACTGAGGGCATCAAATAACACTATCATAGAAGTGATCATCAATTAGTGATAGAATTGCTGCTGGACAGACCCATGTACACATTTTCATTTCACCAGTGATCTGAGTTAAATTAAAGAAAAATCTGACACAGTGTGGAGTAACAGCACGTTCTAACAGTTCTTAGACCCATTTTAGCTGTGCAACTGTGAAGAAGTTAATTATATTCTCTCATTCTCCATTTCCCCATAGGCAAAATAGGAATGATAAAAATTTTACCTCAGAAAAGTTGTAAAGTTTTAAAAATGTATGTAAACCTATGATAGTGCCTCGTTAAGTGTCAGGTAGTGAGGACCAGTAAGTGATTAGCTACAAACATTTAAAATAAAGTATGACCATGCATTTTGGTATATGTGTCCTTTCTTAGCATATGCTCTATATTCTCAACTAAACTTTTTTTAAATCCTTAGAAATTTCTCCAAGATTTACACACACACAGCATAAACTAAATCACTTATTTATAGCAGTGGTGCTTACGTGGTATGACCCCATCCTAGTATAGTGAGAAATAAACCAATAGAAACAAACAGACAAGGGGTTTAAAAAGTGAGAAATGGGTACAAATCATTGAGATAAGCACTGAGCATTTGATGAGAATTCATTAAATCTCAGTTCTCTTTTTCTACATTGCTTTGCCCACTGGCTTTAGTCCAATTTCCATTCCTGGAATATTAGGCATATCTCCTTAGCTTTGTTCTAAGGACATTTTAAACCACCTATTAGGAAGTAGAGAAATTTAGGATTGTAGTGGAGTAAAGTAGTTTATTTTACCAGAAATTTATTCTCCCATCAGAAAGGATAATAATTTTTGTTGTTGTTGAATGACAATATGGCATACAAAAGTTTATGATCTTGGGTATTTGATCAGTCATGAATAAGACATGTAACCTAAGTCACTGCTAACATGGTATTATTTCACAGTGGAAGGTTTTCTAGATGCCTTCACCATCTTTCTCAGTCAGAGGTAATTAAACTTACTACCACTCCCTGGTATTGTATCCCCACTATTTTCATAGGTGGCTCAGTCAAGGCAGAAAGGTGGTGTGCATGATCCCTATCCCAAGACCAAGTGCCTGCAGAGCTAGGATTTAGAAGGTTTAAAGAGGTAGCACATGTCAGTGCATACTTGTCAATTGTGAAGTACTACTATTCTCAACATGGGACAGTTTTCAGATTGCTTTCTCTTTTCCCAGAAGCCAGCCCATACCTTGTCCATCATGGAGGATTTCTGCCTGTAAGGTTTCCATTCCATGCCTTGGTCACTGTAATGAATGGTGTAGCTTTTCACGTACATTTCAGAGGATAGAGACTTGCAGCCCTGTGTTACAATCGCAGTTATCTTCTTGATTTTGAGCAGATCAATTTGTAACCACTGTTGGTTGTTGTTTGCCTATGAAAATGATGAAAACACAGGAACAAATACAATGTTAAAATCTTTGCTTTGTTTAGCTCTTCAGAAAAGCACAGAGCTCGAAAGGATTTTTCTGTCTCATACCCTCTGATTTATTGTTTTTTAGAAGACTTCCATTTTTCTTGTTTATTGCCACAAGTGTATAAATTTCTATTGATGTAGTTCATACCTCACACAATAATTGTTTGCTTCTTTATATCAGTTATTGTTCAAGGACAGGAGCTTTTAGTTTGGTTTTCTGGTATTTATAATAAGGCAAGGCACACAGTTTGTGTTCAGTAAATACTTGCTAAGTGAATGAGTAAATTAATTTTACTTGAGAAGACTTCCAAATTGCTAAATTATCTATAAATATTCTCTTAAGCAAGTTTGCCTAAATCCTATGATAATATTGTTGCAGGATTGTCTGGAAAAGAATTGAATAGCATCCTCTCTCTAACATATTTTAGAAAAGCCCAACTTTTCATTCCACTGCTATTGTTAAATGGGAGAAATAGTCTAATTTCTTATTTTCTTAAATTTCAAATAAATGTAATAATTGAGAGAGCTGATAGAGCCATATGTAGGGGTTCATACATCTCGTAGTAACCAACCTGTCCCTAATATAAGACCTAATCATGTTCAGTGATTCTGAGGTCTGACAGAATTTTATATAAAAGAATAAATATTGGTGAGTTTCCTCAACATCATCCTTATTCTGTGGATGTATGTGTATGGTTTTATATGCATGTGCATTTGTATGTGTACATTGGCATAATATAAGTATTTTAAAAGCAAATTAATTGAATTACAATGATTGTAGTAGAACTTTTTTGTTAATTTTGTGACCCCCTCTAGTGACATCTGGGTGCTGTCTTAAGTGTGTCTTCAAATCAGTGTTTTACCAGTGATATAGAATATAGACAGCTAGCAGATTTTTGCAGACATAAATGAGTTGGACGCTTCAGTCAGGGAGTGGACATCTATATGCCTGCCTGCGTGTGTCTAAACTCTTTAACTCTCTAAAGAAATCCTACAAACAAGGGGGCAGGGATTTAGCTCAGTGGTTTCACCGCCTGCTGTGCAAGTGCAAGGACCTGATCCCTGGTAACAGAAAAAAAAAAAAAGGAAGAAATCCTATAAACATATTTCATATGAATAGAAGGTTAAATGGAACATATTTTCAGATTTAAGAAATTTGGATTAAGATGACAGCATTAAAAGTTAAAATTAGCATTTCATCTTTCAGCTTTTCTTATACTACAAACACTAAGAACAAGCTATATGGGGACTAATTTTTTAAATTGTACAGTGGAGTGAGAAAGGATTGGGTGACATCTCTCTTTATTATCTATATCATTATATAAATATAATATTACTATTTTAATTATTTTAACTTCTCTGGGTGTCAATTTTCTGCCCTGCAAAATTGAAAACTGAGGTTTTCGGGCTGCTTCAAATAGAGAAAAGACCACTGCCTGTTTACTGGGAAAGGAATTCCAGTTCTGATTCTACCACCAAAATAAACTAAAATCACTTAATTTTTTGTATTTAGACTGGAAAGGAAAGGTACGGAGCAAACGTTTTATAACCAGCCTGCCACTCTAGTATTCTGTGATTCCATGATGAGCCAGAATGAGATTTGAGGCCCAGTGAGGGGTCTTCAAGACTGTGGGTACTCGCACCATAATTCTCTTTTCCTTTTTAAGTGGTCCAATTTAAAGACAGGACCTGGGCTTCTACAGAGAGTCCAGAGAACTGGAATGTAGGCATCTTAAGGGAGGAGAATGGAGGATACTAAGGAGGTAATTTGGATTTAGTTGGCTGCTGGGATCATTAAATTATCTGGGCCATTCTGATTCCTCAGGTCAACTAAGAAGGAAACAAAAGCGAATAAACTATGAGCAGTTACCCTAGAGTTAGGTGATCCGAATTACTCTATAGGTTAATATCACAGGGAAAGTATAACTCTCTGGAAGTGTTTGTTTAACTTAGATCACTGATTTATAACTCTGGTTTTACAACACTTTACCATGCCTCCAGTCCTATCAAGGAATGTCTTAAAATATGCTCTTGAAAATGGGCACAAAAAAGTTTAAATGGCACTCTTTAAGAAAATGAAAAATATTGTTGAGAAGGAACAAAATAAGAAACATTATAAACCTAAAGCATTTATCACTATTATCTGTGTCAAGAATTGGAAACTACAGCCATGCTAATGGATTTATGTATTTCGCTGCTTTCCTACTACAGTGGCAGAGGTGAGTAGTTATGTTTGGCCTATCAAGTCTAAAGTATTTTTTTTTCTGAATCTGCAGAAAAAGCTTGTTCCTTCATGGTTTAAATCGAGGCTAGACTCAGAATAACAGAGATGATAAATGACTTTTCTCTGAACTAAAGCTATTGATTCTGCAGATATCTTAGTTCTCAGGCCTTGGGTTTTTATCTGAGACATAGGACATGATACTCCTGCTCCCCAGATCTCCCCTGTTCCCTGTGGTGGGATGACTGTTTCCTTGTGGGAGGCTGAGAGTAGTTCATTTATGAGGTCTGTATCACCTTGGCTTGCCAGGCATTCACTCGACCCTGGGCATTAAGGCGGGCACGGGAGGGCTCCCAGTAATCTCCCCACCAGGATTTTTTAAACGAGGAGGCTGTGATCTGCTTGTTTTCTATCTTTCCATCCTCCATACCCAGTGGTGTGGAGCACCCTGTCAAGAGAAAGTTAATGTGATTAATTCACAACACCAAAATTCTCTGCATAGTGTTTCACAGTTCAGTCAATAAGAAATAACATTACTACCAATTAACAACAAAAACTAGCACAACAATGCACATTCATTGGATTCAAGGGCCAAACACTGCTCTCAGGTGTGAATGTGTTCTTTAATGTTCACAGTTATCTCCATTTTACAAATGAGAAGACAAAATTACAGCAAGAAGCATAATTTGTCTAACATAATGCAGTCAGAAGAATTGGAAATTGAATTTAAACTCAGATAGTGAATGTCATGTACTAAATATTTAAAGTCACTTCCCCTCCTTCAGAGAGTCACGGAAACTTCAGACTTTCCTTTGAGGTAAACAATAATTTCTAAACCATTCATATACAGTCCTGTGCTGCATAGTGTCCTTTTGGCTAATGACAGACCACACATGTGACAGTGGTCCCTTTAAGTTACAATGGAGCTAAAAAATTCCTATTGCCTACCGGCATCATAGCTGTCATAGTAATGGCACAACACATTGCCCACATGTTTGTGGCAAATAAACCGAGTTGCATAAAAATATGGTGCATACAGCTGTATACAGTACATAATACATGATAACAAGAGACTATGTGACTGGTTTATGTGTTTACTATATTTTTATCATTGAGAATGTACTTATACTTATAAAAAATGTTTACTATAGAACACAATGCCCAGTTATGCTGGCAGTAGCCTCACACATTTTACTGCTTCTCTTGATGGGCATCCAAGAGGCTCCATGGAGTGATTGCCCCCTACCATCTAAGTTTATGTAGTTATGCATACGCAGTGATGCCTGAACAGTGAAATAGAGCCCTAACGATGCATTTCTGTGAACACATTCCTGTAGTTAAGAAAAGTATGAATGCATGGCTATATATTAGAAAAGTGCTGTTTCTACTGCTAACAAAAGTGACAAAGAAATACAATGGAGCGTTGGTAGGCAGCATCTAATATTTTGAACATCCTGGGCAGCAAGGCTGATCTGTTAATGTGAGAGGTGCAGGGGTGAACTAGCCCAGTTAACTGCCCATCGCCCATGACACTTCCATTCTCCCAAGTAAAACATACAGAAATTGACAGAAACCCTAAAAGGAACACCTACTGCTAATGCAGACTATATGTAACAAGAAAGTAATGCTTCTTGTACAGAAAAGAGGTGTCAGAAATTAATAGTTGTATGCCACATTTTAGGGTAGCTTGACTCAATGATAAATACAAATCTACCATTTCCATCATATGCCACATGGGAAGAAAAAACGTTAATGATTTATGGAACTGTTTCAAAGAATGTTCCTGCCTGTAGAAAATTTTCATTTTATATGAGAGATGTTACATATTACTGCTTTCTGAATGTTAGTAAACATCCACATCCGTATCCCTCATGAATGCCAAGGGTATATTGTATCATTATCTGCTTTGATAAAAAATGATTCCAAGGTTCAGCTACTTTATCTTCTGAGTGACAGCTTTTCCCCCTACACCAGAGGAGGGTGCTTCAGCTCCCCAGCTGTGTGACACAGCAGCTTTCCTGATCCCTTGACTCTTCCGTCCTTCTGCAGCCACCTGGGGCTGCTTCAGCTTGGGCATGGGACAATTGCTATAGCTTCCTACCTCAGAATGCTGGGCAGATATTATTTTTATGCAGAAAGCATTTTTAATGTTTTGAAGTGAAAAATACTGGAAAGCATTGAGTTATAAGTCATAGAAAAATAGGACTCTTGAAGCATCATTGTTCTATGTGGTAGAATTTTACTATGACCACTTATAATGAATTGGATTTATTGATATCATAGGTCATATTACATCCCCTGCAAAAACAGCAGCTTATGAAAAAAGTATTTGAGTACCAATGTAGGGCACAAAAGAGGATATACAGCATGGGTTCAGGAAGATGGAAAGCAGATTCAGATTTCAAAGACATTCACTGAACAGCAACATATGACAGTAATGTTGCTAAATATTTTCATTGCAGTAAAGTCTAAGTAACCTACAAGACAGTGGAAGAGTAGAGCCTGGTTTGAATCTCAAGTAGTTCTTGAAAATGGACTGGTGGAAGTGATTCCAATCTAGGACCCTTCCTTAGAAGGTCATGGTGGTATCTGTATCACCTAGCATTGTTCAGAAAGGTGCTGCCCTCTGGCTGGGAGGACCAGACTCAGGCTAGGCCACATGGAAGAGTTTACCTGAGTGGACTCTCTGTTTCATGAAGATTTTTCTGGAGCCTAAGACATTGAGAAGAACTAAGAATTCCTTGTATTTCCCCACACACCCCAAATCTAGAACATCTGAGTGTCTGTGAGAAAATAATGCATCTTTGTTCCTTACCATTAACCTCACAGCCTTGCAGCTCCAGTCGAAGGGTAGGTCTGTTATAGGATCTTGTTGGAGATATCCTAATATATCGCGCCACAATAGGTGGATCAAACTGATTCTCTTTTATTGTAGAGGCATCTGAATTGCCCTCAAAATACTAGAAGAAAAGAGGAAGCTTACATAACAGTTCTCTATGGAGTGACTTTATAATAACATTTTCATCTAATTTAATATTGTAAAATTTTCATGGGGCCTGAATCAAATCAATTTGATCTTAAAAATAATTGAGGATACTTCTACTTCCAGGAAAGTGAGGTACTTTGCCCTGTGGCTCCTGCTATGTACATTTAGATAACCTAGACACAAACATGATTGAAACAAGACTCTGAACAGTGGAGAAAGGAAAGGAGACAGACGGGTTCTCAGGAACCAAGGAAAAACATGGTGATGGCTTCCTTGGGTTTTTGTTTTCCCTTATAGATCCTTGTCCTGGCAGTGAAGAAGCCAGCAACCTGAAACACCAATGCATACAGACAACACCCCAACTAAAGCACCAGGAAAGGACAGCTGGACTGAGCAGAAAAGGTTCAGATAATAACTGTTCTACATGAGCCAAAAGACACAGAAAAGACGGTAGCCCCTCCCAAACATACAGCAGCAAAGGCTGAATGGGGAGACTTTTAGGCTTGTGAGGCTAAAGAGGTACCCCAGCAGCCTCCTTGGGGCTATGTGAGAGAAATACAAAATAGGGACCCAGGACTTTCATCCCCTCCAGCCCCTAATGATCCTTCTGCCCCTGAAGAGTCAGTAGAAACCACGTGGGGAACTCAGTTCCCACCCAGCTGTAAAGAGGAGCGCCCTGTAGGGTGCCAAGGGAGGCAAGTGGGAGACCTCTTTCCACCAGGCAGGAACCAGACAAGCTGTGCCCTGTCCTCTTTCCAGAGCATTGTCAGAAAAACACCAGCTAAAACAGGAGGGCAGACATCAGTAAGCTTGAAAATAGAAAAAAAAATAGAGAAAAATCCACAAAATGGCTGGTTCTTAGAGAAGATAAAAATAGACAATCTTTAGCAATACCAAGAAAGAAAAGGAAGAGATACAAATTACAATGTCAGAGACGAAACAGGCAGTATCACTATAGACCCTGCAGATGTAGAAAGGAGAATAAGATGCACTGTGGAGGAAATGGACAATTTATTAAAAAAAAACAACCACAAAGTATCACAGCTTACCCAATATGAAATAGATAATTTGAATACCCCCGTAAGTATTAACAAAATTGAATTTGTAATTTTAAATCCCCTTCCCCCCCAAAGAGAGAAATCTCCAGGCCCAGATAGTTTTCCTAATAATTTCTGCCAAATGTTTAAATAATTAACACCAACTGTAGAAATCTCTCCTAGAATATAGAAGGGCACAGTTAACAATTTCGTTTATGAGATTAGTATTGCCATGAGATCAAAAGCAGAAATAGGCAGTACAAAAAAATAGTAAGAAAACTACACAGTGATATTCCTCATTAATGTAGATGCAAAAATCTTTAGGCTGCAGATTCTACTGCTATCTGTGCTCTCTTTCCTAATACTGATTAGTAAGAACCAAAATTGAGAATTTTCATGATTTGATCTAAGGTATATTACAAATAATTTATTATTAGAATTACCTAAATCATAATATAGAAAAGTACTGAAATACTGAAGGATTTATATAAGATACACATTGAAACAGACTCAAGGTTACTGGTCCAGCGATTGCATTAAGGGTTCTTTTTGTGGGAGAGTGGAGCTTTGAGAGGATGAGATGAATAAGGGTTCCTGGCTGAGTCCATGAAAGACCCGGCAGGGGAACATCATCCCTCAGGCATGGCCCCAGATAAATCTGAGAATTAGAGTGCCTCAGAGTATCACTGCCATAAGTACTGCTATTTCCTTCAGGTACATTGAAATTAAAAACAAAATGAAATGTAATAGTAAAGTCAAAACTCTTGGCGAATTTCTAGCATAAGCTTGAGATATAAAACCAGATATTTGATTCTGTACATACTCTGCCAATCTAGTGTTTTTAAAAAAAATAATAAAGTGATACTTTCCAGGCTCTGTGGAGTTTTGAAGTTTCAGTAGTCCTGGTTATCCCTTTAATTTGTAATACGTGGACTGCCATCACCTTAGCACTTTCCTCCACACACGCCTTAGAAAGCTCTTCACATGGCCTAGACAGACTAGGGTGAGTCCTGAAGTTAGAGGGAAGCATATACACAGACCATAATGTTCTTCGTGCTGTTTCCTTTGAAGATCTGCCAGCTGGTGCGGTCAGAGCTATAAGCCACATGGAACTCAGTGGTATAGCAAGACTTGAGGTAATGTTTGGCACCCTGGGTCTGGATCCCTGTGACAATGACTTCTTTTTGCATGTCCACCTGCAACAGAGGTCAGCTGTCAGCAGAGATGTCCTTCTATATGAGTCACATCTTGCCTTAACTCGCAGTACATTCAGCTCTCTTAAGAATGAAAGAACCAACACCTAAAGTTTTCTTTTATTTGTGTTTTAATCAGATTTTTTTATGAGTACATGTTTGCAGTACATAATGTTTACATTCCTTATGTGGAGCTGGTACATGCACATAACACATCTTAATTCCTTTTTTCATTCTCTGTTCCTCCACCCACTCGCCTCCTTCCATCTATTGATCCTCTTACCATTTGATAAAGAGCTATCTCCCTACTTCCTTTTATCTCTTATTTTAGTAAACTGATAAAATGGCTAGCTGCAACCCATACTTGAGTACAGCTTGAACTTGAATCCCAGTTCAACCACTGTTTACCACTGTGCTACTTAGATAAATTAGTTAACATCTCTCTGCCTTGGATTTTTTAATCCATAAAATGGAATATTACTTAGATCCATGCTCACAGGGTTGATTTTGAGGATGTAAAGTTCTGAGAATGGTATCCAGTGACTAGTGGTTTCTATTCCCCTAATCACATCACAAGAAAAACATGAAATTATTAAATCACTGTCATGTCTATTATTACAATCACCATAAATATTATCAGGCTAAGTAGACATACCTGGATCCAAGGTTTAGAGGAAGTTTCTAATGCACTTTTTGCTACACTCCAAGCATTATATGATCCACCATTGTTTAATCTTGCTAATTTGGGCTCCCAATAACCTAAACTCAAAGGAAGAAAAAAAATCTTCTTAAGAAAAGATTTTTTTCTCAGTACTAGGGATTGAACCAAGGGCCTATGCACTGAGCTACATCCCCAGCTCCTTTTTAAATTTTTACTTTTTAAGATGTCTTGTTAAGTCGTTATGTTGCCTAGGATGTACTTGCACTTGTGATCCTTCTGCCTTGGCCTCTCACAGTGCTGGATTTAAAAAAAGACAATCAGCAATTTCTCAATTGAGTTTAGTCCAGCAGAAAACCAGATCCTTGAAGGACCTGTGTTATAATTAGGAGACCAGGTGGTTAGCATGAGCCTTGACTACCAAACCAGTTCTTGATGATGAAATCTCGGCCTCAGGTCTGTCTGTGTTTGGTTAGCTGTCCACACACTCTGTCCTGCACAAAGGTCCCATTTGCCTTTTCCCGGTTATGTTGACATAGCTGCTGACTGTGTCTACCTAACAGGAAGATAGCAGAAGGGTTACGGGAGCCTCATTATCTTCTTGATGATGGCCTCTTGATCTTGGAAAGGATTTGAGGCAGAGGGAGGAAACCTATTTAGCAGGAGCTCCTGACATATAGTGGGTGATCAGGGCCGGGGATTTAGCTCAGTGGTTCCAGCGCCTCCCTTGCAAGAGCAAGGTCCCGAGTTTGATCCCCGGTACAAAAAAAAAAAAAAAGAATGATTATCACAGGTGAAAGGTCATATTAGTGGGGACTACAGCTCTTACATCATAAGACCCTGTGAACCTGGCTGCAATATTATATGTGGTCAGAAAAGATCAATGAAGAATTTTGGAAATGGGCACATAGTCATAAGTGAAAGCTGTCTACTCCTGCCCAATCCCTGCAGAGACTGAACTGCCTATGTAGAGATTCTTGGTTTTTTCTGGTTGTGGGGACTTCTTAGGTACAGTATACGCTGTAGGGTGACAAAAATGTACTAATAGGCTTTTCACTCCTGCCATAGGGATGCCTTTCTCTACTGCATAATACCCCAAATAGAAGTATTTTCTTACGTTTTGGTCGAGGAAAGCCTGGAGAGGAGAAATGACCTATAGCCAGGGTTGTCATGTGTGGTTTTGTACGCTGTATACTACACAACAGTAGAAGTTGACACTCACAGGCTATGATGCGACTACTTACGAAGATACTCAGAAGCCTTGATCTGTGAATCAGATATAATTCCAGTGCTCAGTCCCATTGGCATCTTACAATCTATGAAAAACCAAAAACATGAATAATTTTTGCTTACAAAATACATAAAACAAAGTAAAACTCCAAGGCTAGATATGATGCCTCTCATTCATTACATATTTTCCTTCACTTTGTGTGACACGGGCTTAACTATGTCTGATTATAATAAATACTCTAGTAAAACTGGTGCTTTAATGGAAATTGGGACACCGTAAAGGAAAACATCTGAAATCTTGAAATGCAACTGGTTTTAAATCTGATTTCCATCTTCTTGAATCTTAAAGTAAGCAGTTTTACAACATTAAGTACTTGTACCTCATGAGACTATGGTCTCAAAAGTTAACTGGTTAATTCCAAGGCTATTTACCTCTCTTGATTAAGGAAAGGAATACCAGCCACTGTGATACTTGACTGTCAGAACAGTATTTGATACTCAATAGGTGCTTAGTAAAGATTTGATGGATAGATGGATGGACAGAGGGAAACTGTGTTTTTGAATATTAAAATGCCCAAGTTCAGCAACTACCTCAGTCATTGTTGAATTCTTGTTCCCTTTTCCCTCCTCTACTTTAGAAACATGGAGAATTTCTTATATGCACTTTCCCATGGAGCACAAATTATGAGGAAAAGTGCTTTCCATTGGTTCCCCAACTATGATGTAAATCATTTCTTTTAAGTGTTTTAGTTCAGGGGTCCCCAACCTGGCTGCTCAGCAGGAGGTAAGCAGCCAGTGAGGGAGGAAAGCTTCATCTGTATTTACCTAATCCCCACTGCTAGCTTTACCACCTAAGTTCTCCCTTCTGTGAGATCAGCGATGGCATTAGATTCTCATAGGAACGTGAACCCTATGTGAACTGTGTATGTGGGGGAATCTAGATTGTGTGCTTCTTGGGATCATTCACACATCAAAAACTGTCTTCATGAAACCAGTCCTTGGTGCCACTGTTCTAGAAGACTGATTTTTTTTGGTAGTCAAACTATGGTCCAGAATAAAAACAACTATAGCTAAAAATTATGCCTTTATCACATCCGAGTTATTGAACACTTGCAATTTAAAAGTTGGCAAATTTCAGTTACAGGCACTTTCTTTCTAATAAATATTGTACACCTCTTGGGTGATACCTTTGTCTATGATGAGAAATGGTGTTTGCATCCCTGCTCTCTGGTTTTCTCCAACTTCTGTATCTAGGAGCCACCAACCAGGTTTTGATGCCTTCATTTCAAGAGTTTTAAATGAACCTAGAATAGAAAGATAAGGACAAAATATAAACTCAAAGATTAACAGGCCCATCTGAACTTCTGTACCTATATCTGAGGCAGATTAGTGTCATGACTTCCACACCCAAAGTCCTATAAGGGACTACCCTTCATTAGTTCTTCAGACAGCTGTAGAGAGAGACTGCTTGTTAAAATGTAGAATCCAGGAGCTGGGCCTGGTGGCACATACCTGTCATTCTAGCACTCTGAGAGGCTGAGGCAGGAAGAGTGGAAGTTCACGCCAAGTCTGGGCAACTGGGCAACTTAGCAACTTAGCAAGACTGTTTCAATAAAAAAATTTTTAAAATCATAAAAGAACTAGGGATGTTGCTCAGTGCAAAGGCCCTGAGTTCAGTCCCCAGTACTGGAAGAAACAAAAGAGCAGAATCGTTTTAATTCTATCTAAGATCCACCTTATTAAAGTCTCTGAGAGCAAAATATCTGCTTTTAGCATCTGCATTTTAACCAACTTCCTAGGTTTTTACTATGGAGTTTGTGAATCAGTGGCTCTAGATCTCATTCCTCTACTCGTACACCTACTTAAAAAACATACACCTGTAAACAACTTATGGGCACATCTGATGATTGCAGTTTGTTTAAATCTACATTTACTACTATTTTGCACATGAAAATCTGAATACTTTTGTTATTCTTTAGCTTTAACAATTTTTTTAAAAGTTCTCTTTTCTTAGGCCAGGGATTTAGCTCAGTTGTTCTGCCGCCTGCCTTGCAAGCGCAAGGACCCGAGTTTGATCCCTGGTACCAAAAGAAAAAAAGGTTGCCTTTTTTTTTTTTTTAATTTCCCTTTTCTTAAAACAGCCTCAGATGTCATTTCAAGATGATTATTCCTGGAGTTAATTACCCACGAAAAAGTCAGGGTGATACAGCCAGGAATAGATTTCAAGAATCCAAAAACCTTAGTAAGTTTCTATTCTCCATCCCAATAGGAAAAACTGCAGCTGCCCACACTCTCCAAAATTTATTCTCTTATTTGCTTGTGACCGGATCTGCACACAGGGGCTTGGGAGACACAGTACCTCTGCAGAACCAAGTTGGGCCACACATTTAGCCATATGGTGCCGCCACACAGTTCATTGCTAAGTTGACATTTTTGTGCTTTGCATGCAGTTTTTTTTTGCCCAGAGTCTATGCCTGAATCCTGTGTTCTGACTCCTTAGGCAGTAGATACACAAGAGAGAATGGGTGGTGGGGGCAGGGTGTTCAGATGCTAAGGTTGCCTTGTCTTGCTATTTCTTAGCAGGGACCTCTTCCATCCCCAGATCTTTACCAGGTAAAAGGGGCCAGACACCCAACTGGTGCTGTTGAGAGCCGTTCTCCAGCAAGGTCTGGCCGTGAAAGTGAACCACATGAATGTCTCGGGAGCCGCCCATGTTCAGCAGGTGTAACCTCACCCACTCTTGCTCGTACATTCTCAGGCCAGGCAAGTTGTAGATCTTCCCGTTAATGGCTGAAAGGACAGAGCGTTGCAATCAACTGAAACCCTCTATATGCCAGGAGGAGGCTGATAAGGAGATATGGAGCAACTCACTCACCACCCATCTTCCTCATTATGTGGCCTTCCCAGGGACCACCCAGGCAGTGTGAGAGGCTAGAACAGGACCTCCAGCTCCTCATGTCATTCCCACCAGCCTACAGAGGTGTGGACGAGCTCCTCCTCCAACCAGGCTGTTGAGTCCCATTCTTTCCCCAGAGTTTACACCTGTCCTGACCTGTGCTTTGCCCATCTATCCATGCATCAATAGTGTAAATCTTCCTTTGCTACAAAAAGATGAAGACCGACATGGCATATAACGCAAACACCAGGATGAGAGGAAGGGCACATGTAGCATGTCACTCCAGGTCCTTCTGAATTCAGAGACAAATAATGGTGGACCAGATTAGGAAGCTGGAGTTTACCTTTGATGTACCCACTAGCCATAGTGACTCCTGTTTATTTTCTCAGATGGGTTCTCAGGCTGTGTCCACTCGGATATATGTGTTTGATTTTTTAAAACTTGCTACCTTAAAAATATAACACAAAATTGTACTGATGAAGGTTAGTGCTAGCAGACATCTAATTGAAGCAGAAAGGGAAGGTTTTTCTTAAAGGAACTGCAGTGGACTTTCAAGAACCAGGCAAGGGAGTTTTCTGGAGGGGCAGGAATTGAGATCAGTTGGGCACCCTCAAAATTATATCAGGTACAGGGATTCCTGTCTACAAACATGCATAGCTTTTACACCTATTTTGAGTTTCTATTTAAGAAATAGATCTCATAAGAATGGAAGGCATGTCAGGTGTTTATTAGGTCAGCATTGCTAAACTGTTGCACAAAGATATGGAAGGGAAGACTCTCAACACAAGTGCTCAGTAAACATTTGATAAGTTGACCTGAATGATAGAATTCATTCATTTATTCACTAGTTCACATATTCATTGAGCACATATAACAAAGGTCAGATATGAAGCTAGGGGCTGGGAATCAGGAGGTCTGCCTATCACATTACCTATCATATAACCTAATCATATCAAATTACAGAGACTTGAACTTCAGTACATTTAAGACTAAAGCTACAGGGGATACATTTCACTCTTTGAGGAAATCTATGTACAGGAGCTCAAGTGAGTAAAAGACCCAACCAAGAGAAAAGTCCATCTAATTCTGCAGCCTTCACTTTCCTACTAGGCTGAGAGGTTTTCTAAAGGCTGGGCCTCCTGCTTCAGAGACCAAGCACACTGGGCCAAGGGGTCTACTGAGGGAAGAAGGGGAAAGGGAAGAGGGGAAGAGAGAGAAAGGGAGTGGAGGGGTGTTCAGAACAGGACAGGAGAGAATGAAAAGGAGAGGAGAGAAGGGAAAGGATGAGGAGAAAGCTCTGCTTGCAGTCTGTTGGTTCACTGTCAATGGACTCCTTCAGATTTCTTCATGGACTCTTAGTATTTGAATTTAAAAACTGTGTTTTTATGATAACTAGAGTTCATCCTTAGTGGGAACAGGTCATAGATATTGATCATATTGTTTGTCTACCTCTAACTCAAAGGATGCTTAAAGGTGAGATCATTAAACTTCTAGAAGTAGAAGTAAGGTAAAAAATAAGATAAAGAAGGATGGCCTGAGCATGGACCAGTAGGAGGGGGAGACAGACCTACTAAGCCTTGATGAATGGCTGCAGGTGGCAGTGATTCACATGTTGTATATACTGTCTGCCAGGTTTTTCCTTCCTATTACACTGACCTGTTACCCAACACAGGTTCTCACTGATCAAAAAATCTCCGAATAATCACCTCCTCCATCAAACTTTGAAAAAAGGGTTAGTCTTTTCCCCCCCTAATCTCCACATCATTCTTTTTGTCATCCACCAAATCCTAAATTCTATCTTTCTCCAAAAGTGTTTGTAATTCATTTGTCCATTTACTGGCCAATTTCCGGAGTAGCTTGATAAACAGGTATTCTTTTTCCAGTGTGAGTGCCTAAATGGTCTTTTGTCCCTATTCTCCCAATACCTAGCCACCTTGGCTCCTATCTCCTTTTGTTCTCCTGTGTCACTTGGCATGAATGCCACTGATGGCTGCTGAGAGGTAGACCTGCTGGGATCATTCTTATTTTAGCAAAGACACAAGAGTGATCATTTCTTTTATATAAATACTGGCTTCTTTAAAGAGTAAGAAAGAGGTTCATTAGTTTCTTAAAGTGCAGAGCCAGGTTGATTCCTTTTCCTCCTGCTGCCCTCTGAGGTGCACTGGCCTTTGGTCATTGGTTTGCTTTGCTTTGTCTTGCAGTGACCTCTGTGTACCACTTTTTGTACTCTTTCTGTGCCCGTTGACCTGCAGTGTTGCCTGCCGGGTCACTCAGCCCTTGGAGATGTTAAGGCTCTAGGTTTAGTTGTAGCTTCTGGATCCTCAGAAGCATTAATGTTGGATCTGTGAAACTCTAGGCAGGAATCACCGGGAACCAGTGTGATTTAATTCAGAGATTAGATCAAAGTCAGAGAAAAATACCATGGAACTCATGGGAGTTTTTTACTTCTGAAGACTCAAGTTTCCAGGTTCTTTCCGACTTTCCATAGTACCAGCTCTTCTTCTCATCAAAGACCATAAAGAGCAAGACAAACTCTCTCATGTCCACAGGGATGTTGCTCTGCTTGTGAAGCGTTCCTTTTTGGCAGATCAGAAGGGGCCCTATCAAGCCCGAGTGGATGTCTTTTTCCTGGAAGACAGGAAGAGCAAATTGCCTGCATTTTCCTTTGCTCAGGATCTTCTTTGGTCTCCTGACAATTATATAGAAAAAGAAATATCTCCTTAAAGACTCTGCATTTAAAGATTATTAATGAATAGTTTAATAAACCTGTATATTTACTTACTTCTGTTGTATTCATATTTTTCCTCTGATTATGCTGTCCTTGATCTCAGTAATAATGAGAATAATAATATTGATAACAAAATGGATATTATTTGCTGAGCATCTATACTATATTAAATGCTTTGCCTTTAGTATTTCATTTAATTTGGAAACTATCCTATATAGTAAATATAAATTCATTTATTGAACAAATATTTATGAAGTGCCTACTATATGCTGTGTACTATTATCCCATTTTTACCTCTGGAAACTGAGGATGGGAGAGGTCAAGTAATTTTCCTAGGGTTGCACAGTGACAGGGTAGGAATTCAAATCTAAGTCTAGGGCCAGGGGATGTAGCCTCTGGGAGAGCACATCTGACTCATGCAGGAGGCCCTGGGCTTAATCCCCAGCACCAAAAACAGAACAACAACAAAAACCAAAAACAACAACAACAAAAAACCCCAAACCTACATATGTGCTCATACTACTATGGCTTAAATGAAGGACCCCTTTTGTAATTTACCAAAAACTTGGTTATATTTATCATGTCTAACATATTTGCTTTGAGGTATATATACATTGAGAAATGATAAATGAAAGATTCTTGAGTTTTTAGTTTTTTCATAAAGAGAAGAAGGAAGATAATAGTTGTTCAAGAAAATCACAAATACACATCTTTTTCTGCAAATACAGGATTCTAGCTTGGGGCCAACAAGCATTTCAGTAATCCTCCCTCCTCTGTCATTTGAAGGGAGTCCCTGGTTATGGTATGGTATGGTAACTATGCAACTTATGGTATGGTAATGGTATGCATACCAGGTTATGGTATAGTATGGTAACCGTATGGTAACTGTGCAGCTTCCACATCTCTCATGAATACAAGGCAGGCTTTTGACAAAAAATAACCCAACATTTCCACTGGGTGGGCTTGGGTTGTAAGGTTAGGGGAACAGAAGAACTTTCGATGGCAGTACCTACCGGATTCACAGCTGAGTAGTAGGCCCAAGCCCGACAGGCTGAGCCAGGGTTCTCTGGCCCTGACCGATCGGTGGCATGCCATACATACGTATAACTCCTGTTGGGCTGAACAGCATTATCATCCTTAAACCATTCAGGAGAATCATCTTCATAAGTCTTTCCTTCTGATGATTTCTCATAGGCCAGTCCATGGGCATGAAGAGAATATGGTCTAGATGCTAAATTTTTAAAACGAACCTAGAAAAAAGAATGATCCATAAATGTACTTAAGTTTAAACAAAAATCCAAACCAAGTTTTGGCACAGTGGTGTACACCTGCAGTTGGAGCTGCTGGAGAGACTGAGGCAGGAGGATAATAAACTTGAGGCCAGCTTGGGCAACTTACTGAGACATTGTCTCAAAATACAATAAAAAGAGCTTGAGATGTAAGAGACCCTGGGTTTAAACCCAACATGTAAATAAATAAATACAGAAACAAACATAAATAAATAAGGCATGGAGAGGTTGAAAAGGATGCGAAATGACCGGGATTGAGAAAAGCCATAGAGAATCTGCTTGTTTGGGGAGGACACCGAGGCACTTTTACTTCTTTATTAGTTCTCTTTAACTTCAGTGTCTTTTCTTTAAGAAAACTTCAGGAAATTACAATGTGACCTTTTCCAGTTTATATAGTTTTCAGCACTTACAAAATACAAGATCATTGTTTTTATCTTGAAGACTGCCAAATGGCTTAGCAAGCAGTCTCTGAAAAGAAATGTAATTATGTGTTAATTCTGGAAAATCAATCAGTTATACTTCTTCTGCTACCTTCACTTTTCTAACTTCTGATGCTTGTGGAAATTCCTCTAATGACCTTGGTAGCACTCAAAAGACAACTTACTTGTATGACATCATCCACTTCGGCTCTAATAATAGGACCGAGAATGCCAAGATGTTGTTCATACTCGCCCCGAGGGTCACGTTTAGTAAAAGTGCTGTCCAGGTACTTTCGGAAAATGACCTTCTTGTATGTGGTATCCTTTCGAATGTCATCGCCATCTTCACTGTCAGTTTCACTGTAATGATAAAAACAGGTTTTGTTTAAAAGAAGAAATGAAAGTCTGTTCAAGGAGTTTAGGAAATTGTCTCTGTTTCTATATACAGTATCTAATACAGAGAGCCTTTCCTAAATCCTTCAGGGACCAATTAATGAATATATAAATGAATGAAACCATAAGCCAGTAAATATTTTAACTCCCAACTCAAATATTTGCTAGACAAGTCTCACTATGATCCTTTAGACTAGGTCAAGTCTCTTGTATCACTCCTTGTATTTCTATAATATTATTATAGTATATGTAGCAAATTCCTGTAAGTGTTCCTGATTTTATTTATATATATATATATGTATAAAATTACATGTGATCTACTTGTGAAATTATCTATTAATATCTGACTCTGCCACTAGGGTGTAGTGTAAGTCTCAAGAGGTCAGATATTGTGCCTAGTTTGCTCATTACACTTTTTGTAGTGCCCAGCATGTTATCTGGGATATGGTGGGCATTTAAGAAATTTTTGCCAAACATATAAATTAATGAATGAATATAATTGTATATTAACATAATTTTTAACATCAGAGGGAGACAAAGCCATTCAATGGGGCAGCACCAGAGCTTGGGGCTGCCAGGTGACAGTGGTCAGCTGAATTGGAAGGTTGTCTCTATGAAGGGCACTGGGTGTTTTATATCCTGAGAATGGCCACTATCTACATTTGCTTTTGCTAAACTACATTATTTCCAAGCTTTTTTTTTCAGGACTGGGGATTTTTATAGCAATAGAGCCTTCACACTGAGCTACATCCCAGTCTTTTTTATTTTTTTATTTTGAGACAAGGTTTTCTAAGTCACTAAGTTGCCCACACTGGCTCAAACTTGTGGTCCTCCTGCCTCAGTCTCCCAGAATGTTGGGACTACAGGTGTGTGCTACTTCACCCAGATTTCTCAAGCTTTTTGACATTAGTCTTGAGAAAGATGCTTTGGATATAACCCTAAAAATGAAGGTAACAAAAGCAAAAGTAGACAAATGGGATTGTATCAAACTAAAAAGATTATACACAACATGGGAAACAACAGAAAAAAGACAATCTATGGAATGAGAGAAAATATGTATAAACCATATACCTGATAAGGGGCCCATATAAAATATATAAAAACTCAAACAATTCAATAGCAAAAAACCAAGCAGCTTGATTTAAAAATGGATAAAGTACCTGAGGCTATTTCTCAAAGGAAGACATGCAAATTTCCAACAAGTATATGAAAAATGCAGATTATTAATAATCAAAGAAATGCAAATTAAAACCACAATGAAATATTACTTCATAACTGTTAGGATGGCTATTATATAAAAGACAAGAGATAAATGTTGTCAAGGATATAGAGAAAAGGGAACCCATGTACACTGTTGGTATGAATGTAAATTAGTTTTCAGCCATTATAGAAAACAGTATCATGGTTTCTCAACAGAATTAAAAATAAAACTTCTACATGTCCAGCAATGTCACTTCTGGGCATATATCCAAAGGAAATGAAATCAGCATGTCAAATATCTGTACTCCATGTTCATTGAAGCACTATTCACAACAGTGCTGAATCAACCTAAGTGTCTATCGGTGGATGAATGGATGAAGAAAATGTGGCACATATACACAATGAAATACTATCTGGCCTTTGAAAAGAAAGAAGTTGTCATTTTTTACACAATGGATGAACCTGGAGACCAGAATAAGCCAGACACAGTAAAACTAATATGACACAATCTCACTTATATGTGACATTTAAAAATATTGCATATGTTAAAGAACTTAACTTAGTTACTTCATAATTTATATATATATATTAAAACGTGTTCAACACTATACACAAAAGCAAAGAGTGACAGAAAACTATGGCACACATCTTAAAGAGCACTACGTAGCAATAAAATGAACTGACAATTGATATATACAAAAACTTGATGAATCTCTGGAGAATTATGTTGAGTGGGAAAATGCTGACCCCCAAAGGTTATAAGTTCCACAATTCCATGCATGTAATATTCTTGAAATGACAAAATGATAGAAATGGACCCAGAGTTGTAGTTGCCAGGGAATAGGAAGTATATGGTGGGAGGGAGGTAGATGAGGCTATAAGACAAGAGGGATTTTTGTAGTGAAGGAAAAGCTCTGTATCTTGATGCACTGGTTGTGATATAATAAAGTTTTAGAAGCTGTTACTACTTGGAAAATCTGGATAGAGGACACAAGGAATCTCACTGTATTATTCTTCACAATTGTGTGTGAACATACAGTTATCTCAAAATAAAAGGGTTAAGGAGAATATAAATATAGCACATTATTGCCCATGTAACTCATCAGTTTAGTCTGGGGCCAGAGCATGGCAAGTTATCCTGCTGACTCAAATTTCCTGAGTCTATGGAAATAATCCGAAAGCTCATCCATTGAATCTATAGTATGTTCTACATTCCATCAACAGACCCATCAACAGAGAATCTTATTCTGCCTGTCTCCTATTATATTCCCTACAGACTTCATTATGGACTCTGAGGATTGCATACAATTTCACAGAACATGTTGGGATAGGCAAGGCAACTTTGTCCATCATAAAAACAGGTTGCAGGCTTGAAACAGGATACAAGAGTTTGAAGGAACTGGTTCCATGACTTTCCACTCTGCATATCCCCTAATCCTGTCCCCACAGGGCCTGGTTTAGAAATCCTCAGATAATGAACAATTCTTATATAGTAACAGGTGCTACATTTAAATAGGAAGTCATAGAAGAGAGCATTTTGAACAGAGTTCTAATGTGGAAACCTCAGGCATCAGATTAACACGTTAATATGTACAAATCACCCCATAGATTGTGTTTGCCTACTCTAATTATACTTTGTTATTTTGTTTTATTTTGTGGTACTGGGAATTAATCCCAGGGCCTCTGCACTGAGCTACTTTTTCAGCCCATTTTAATTTGTTTATATCAAGACAGGATCTTGCTAAGTTGCTAAATTGCCAGGTGGGCTCAAACTTGTGGCTCTCCTGTCTCAGCCTCCCAGAGTGCTAGGATTGCAGGCATGCGCTACCACATCCAGCTCACTTTGGGTTTTAATTAGTGTAATAGCTTTTGTAAGAGCTGTGGGATATATTTAGACAGTTTATGTGTAGTCACCATGTTGTATCCTTGTGAACCTGTCATTGACCAAGACTTGGTTCTTTCCTCCTCTCTACATATCTTCATCCCAGAATACAGAACCTAGAACAATTATGACTTTCTACCCTTTACTAATAATGAATTAAAGATGATCTTTTGAAAAATATAGATCTCTTAGAAACTCTGTATTGTAAACAAGTAAATGCAAAAGGAGGTTTCTACATCAAGATTTGAATTTAAAGCCAACTTTAATTAAATCATATTGATTATCAGATAGCTATGGGTAAGTCAAGCTCTGCACTGGAGCAGGAAGAGAGGGTAAGAACATCTGTGATAGCAGAAGGAGAGGGAAGAGGGGGTTTATGTACTATAATATATCACAGACTTCTCATTATGATTATTCTCTTATTGTCCAGGTATTGTCCAAACAGAGAAGCTAATTTTGGAATTGACAAAGGACATAGAATAGGCCAAGTTAAACTATGGGAACTAAACTATATTCTATAAAATTTGCCCAGAATTATATTCCTGGACTGTTGTAATGTTTTTTTAGCAGTAGTGAGAACATGGTAATATAAAGGGAGAAAACTAGCCAAACCTTTGTGCAAATTCTGCATAATCCCAGAATATTTCTTCAGCAGCAATGTAATAATATTTTCTGTTTCCCTTGTTGCTGCGGAGGTACCATGCTGCAATGTTGTCAGGATTTCTTGAGGAGTTGATGTCTGTCCTCCTATCAGTTTGGTAGGGGTCATCATAGGCCACATAATCAATTTCAGCATAGTCTTCTTCACTGATTTGGACTTCCTGCTGTGGAATAATCTCAATGTAATCTCCATCATCTCCACTTATGCCCACTACAACTAGTGAATTAAATTCATTTGATATGAAAGTATCATTGAGTGTAGGAGATGGGAGAGGAGATGGCATGTGAACAAGGTCTGGATAAGGAGAAGTCTGATTAAATTCTGAAAGAGGCAATAACTGACTAGACTCAGAAGGGTAGGATATCTGATCAAGGTCTGAAGGATGTGATGTTTGCTTGAAATTTGGAGGAAGGGTTTTCTCACTGATGTCTGGGGAGAGAGTTACTTGGCTGAGGCCAGGGGAATAAGGTATCTTGTTGAGATCTTGGGAGGGGGTCATCTGACTGACGTTGGGGGAAAATTTGGCCTCACCACTTTCTGGAGAGAGAGGGATCTGGCTGAGGTCTAGGGCAGGGGTCTTCTGACTAAGATCTGGAGAAAGATTGGCCTCACCAAATTCTGGAGAGAGGGGGATCTGGCTGAGGTCTGGGGCAGGGGTCTTCTGACTGAGGTTGGGGGAAAGATTGGCCTCACTAAGTTCTGGAAAGAGGGGCATCTGGCCGAGGTCTGGGGAGGGCATCTGACTGAAGTCTGGAGATGGGCTGGCCTCACCAAGTTCTGGAGAAAGGGGCATCTGGCCGAGGTCTGGGGAGGGCATCTGACTGAAGTGTGGAGAAAGGCTGGTCTCACCAAGTTCTGGAGAAAGGGGCATCTGGCTGAATTCTGGGGAAGGGGTCTTCTGACTGAGATCTGGAGAAGGATTGGCCTCACCAAGTTCTGGAGAGAGGGGCATCTGGCCAAGGTCTGGGGAGGGCATCTGACTGAAGTCTGAGGAAAGGGGGATCCGACCAAGGTCTGGGGAGGTGATCATCTGTCTGAGGTCTGAGGAGGGGGTCGTCTGACCTTGGCTTGAAGAAGAGGATGGTTGACTGAGGCCTGAAGAGATAGTCATCTGCCAGGCTTCATGTTCCAGAGCATGAGATAGTTGACCAATGTCAACAGGATGTAACTCATGACTTAAGTCATAGTTGAACATCTGGCTGAGCTCTGGAGGAGAGGACCTGTGACTGGGGTCTGTAGTGGAGTGCATTTGATCAGGGTCTTGAGTGGGAGATGTTTGATAGCGTTCCTCTGGGGGCACAGTCTGATAAAGATCTGGAGGGGAGCTTGTTTGACCAGTGTCATTTGGGGGTCTTAGATTATGGTCAGGAAGGGAGCCTATCTGCACAAGATTGATAGAGGGGGATGTTTGATTGAAGTCTATGGGAAGAGATGTTTCATTGGACTTATGCAGTAACACTGAATGGTTAAGTCTCCTGTCTGAAAATGTGGTGTAGTCTGCTCCTTTGAGAGGGTAAATGCCCCGTAGAGAGAGAGGGGTATGGTGTGCAAGCTTTGGTTCCTTTTTCTTTTTCCGTGTTCTGATGAGAAATGGTCTTTTCTTCAATCCACTATTTTCTCCATGCTGTCTTACTTGTAGAGATTTATGTCTAACACCAGAAAACTTTGGGTGGTCATTCTGCTTTCCTGGATTGTTTTCAGGAGGGATTCTTTCTCTCCAAATCTTTGAGACATTCTGGGGGCTGTTTAACAGCTCATTAATAGCCAAGTCTTTATCAATATCTTGGATTATTTCATAGCCACCTTTTTCAGAAACCACATGCCATTTCCCATCCAAAATCTTTGATGGATTCTTTTGTTTTAAGAGTAACAAATCACTTTGAAGGTCCTCCAAGGGTCCCATTCTTGAAGAAGTGTCATCTTGGTTTGAATGTCTCCCAGTTTTATGGGCTGGTAATATCATCCAGAAAAACCCGTGATTTGCTAATTGGTTTCTTTTTGTCCTGTATGCTTTGTGTTTAGCATATTCTCCATCTCTGAAACCTTTTGCACCTAGTAGACTTATCTCTGTGACATCTGACTGTAGAGGATCTTCTATCTGGTCTTCATAATATGGGCTGGAATATTCTTCTGTGGAAGAGTTGACAACTGGGTTCTTGTCTAAGCCACTGAGGTGTTCCAGGAGGTGACCAGTGGTGGAGGCTCCTGCATGAGGAAGGGTTTTCTGAGGTTCTGTGTGGTTACTGACAGTGGTTCTTGAGGATGAAGAACTGGAACCGATGGATACATTTGTACTTGGAGAAATGAGCTCAGAGCTGTTCTCCAGAGCAAGGGCAGTAAGATTGAATTCATCTTCTTTGTGATCCAGTGATGAATTTCTGAATGACCTAATTCCTAATGAGGAAGCCAGGATATCCTGGTAATCATCATCTGGATCAGTCTCCTCATCTTCATTTTCTGAAGGAGAGTGTATTTTCCGTACAGCCATTGCTGTTGGTGACAGAGGTTCATAAATCTCGTATGAGTCTTCATCGTCATCCCGCATACATTTAACATCCCTGAATCTCAGCTGGAGGCCTTTGTTTCTTGGACTGGAATTCATGGTGGTCAACATCCAAGTTCCTTCAGAAGAGAGAGAGAAGATTGAAAGTCCAGGAAAACATATAAAAACCCTAGGATCCATCGTTAACAAGTAATTTTTACTGAACTTTAGTCAGAGATACCCAAGTGTGTCCTGTGGACCACTGAGGAACACTGTTAGTATGTGAACACTGGTTACTGGCACATGAAGATATAAGGAGAGAAACTGGGAATAATGTATGTGTTTTGTGGGGGTTTTTTTAGCAATTTGACATTGCTGTGACATCTAAGGCCATGATCTGCACACTTACCTCATTTAACAGAATACAGACTAAAAGTATTGGTGGGTGGAGATTAGGGAGAACAGAAAAGTCAGCACAGATAGTCCAAGAGTATTGTTTTAGAATATATTGAGAATGGGTTGAATCAGGAATAAAACAGACTTTGAATATCATTAACATCTTCTTAGCTGAACCTGGTTTGAGAGTTGGAGATAGGATGATGATGATGAGGAGGTCTACTCATAATAAGTAAGTAATATTTAGGTATTTCTAAGAAATAACTCATGTGGGGCCAGGGCAAGCTTGAATCTCTTTGATATAGTATGAGTTACTGACAAGAGTCTTGAGAAGTCTCCAAGAGCTATCACTTGTTGAGTGTTAGGCACTAGGCCCTTATTATAATTAATGGTCAAAGAAGCTCTGTAAAGTATTACTGTACTTTTTTAGATGAATAATTTGAGGCTTTTTGAGCCTAAGTAATTTGTCCAGGATTATAAGAGACTGAGTTACAGAGCAGGGTTTGAACTCAGGTCTGAACTCCAAAGCTGTCTCTGAGGCAACTCTAACGCAGTCTATTTGATAATTGTTAACCATAGAGTAGAAGACTGTCTTAAAATATTTGAAACAGGCATTTTGACCCATGAAATGCCCCTTTGTGGCTGAAATATTCATGCTTCTTCCTCATCTTTCTGCTATTATATGTCTTTATTTCCCACTTGGCCCAGAGATGTATAAATGTAACCCTATAAAAGAACTGGACCCAGGTAAGTCAACAATCTTGCAAAGAGAAATGCTAAAAAACACTGAAAGGAAAACCTGCAGGAGGTTAGGGAGATACCCCAGGAGCAGCGGTCATCTTGAGAGCTGCAGCAAACCCTACAGACCAGAGGTCCAAAGTCGGTTTCTTCTCTAAGTGTCCACATGCTTACTTACCAACGTTATCCATTGTGACAGTCACAGACTCTCCACGCATGGGGAAGAGGGTCAAGGTGTCCTCATGCCTCTTTTCATAGATGAATGAGTGCCCCGTGAAGTGAACAGTCAGGATATCATCCTGGGTCCCCACGCTGCAGAAATGCCACTGGACAGTGTCATCAAAGCAGAACCCTAGAGTAGGTATACTCTCGGGCACATAGCCATTGATAGCTGGAAGAGAAAAATCTGTTAAACTGCCAGGCCTGTGCCAACAAAAGGTCATGCATCTAATTATACCTAAGATAAAGGTCCCAGTGTTAATTTGGTTGTATCAAAGCAATGATTATCCAAGATAAGCTTTGCCAGATCTAACATGTGACGTGAAGATCAAATTCACACTTCTGAAATGAGAGCTTTTCCTCCTGAGTTAGCTGAAAAAGAAATGTCAGGATTTGGTCCAGAGGAAGGGGCTTCCCGGCCACCATCCCTCTGGCTGCTCCCAGCCCACAGGAAAGGGCTTTTGGGTCACCATCCCTACCGCTGCTCCCGGC